TATATTCTAGTTTCTTCAGAATAGCCACCCTTTGCTCTGATTACTGCTTTGCACACTCTTGGCATTCTCTCCATGAGCTTCAAGAGGTAGTCACCTGAAATGGTTTCCACTTCACAGGTGTGCCTTATCAGGGTTAATTAGTGGAATTTCTTGCTTTATCAATGGGGTTGGGACCATCAGTTGTGTTGTGCAGAAGTCAGGTTAATACACAGCCGACAGCCCTATTGGACAACTGTTAAAATTCATATTATGGCAAGAACCAATCAGCTAACTAAAGAAAAACGAGTGGCCATCATTACTTTAAGAAATGAAGGTCAGTCAGTCCGGAAAATTGCAAAAACTTTAAATGTGTCCCCAAGTGGAGTCGCAAAAACCATCAAGCGCTACAACAAAACTGGCACACATGAGGACCGACCCAGGAAAGGAAGACCAAGAGTCACCTCTGCTTCTGAGGATAAGTTCATCCGAGTCACCAGCCTCAGAAATGGCAAGTTAACAGCAGCTCAGATCAGAGACCAGATGAATGCCACACAGAGTTCTAGCAGCAGACCCATCTCTAGAACAACTGTTAAGAGGAGACTGCGCAAATCAGGCCTTCATGGTCAAATAGCTGCTAGGAAACCACTGCTAAGGAGAGGCAACAAGCAGAAGAGATTTGTTTGGGCCAAGAAACACAAGGAATGGACATTAGACCAGTGGAAATCTGTGCTTTGGTCTGATGAGTCCAAATTTGAGATCTTTGGTTCCAACCGCCGTGTCTTTGTGAGACGCAGAAAAGGTGAACGGATGGATTCCACATGCCTGGTTCCCACTGTGAAGCATGGAGGAGGAGGTGTGATGGTGTGGGGGTGTTTTGCTGGTGACACTGTTGGGGATTTATTCAAAATTGAAGGCACACTGAACCAGCATGGCTACCACAGCATCCTGCAGCGACATGCCATCCCATCCGGTTTGCGTTTAGTTGGACAATCATTTATTTTTCAACAGGACAATGACCCCAAACACACCTCCAGGATGTGTAAGGGCTATTTGACCAAGAAGGAGAGCGATGGAGTGCTGCGGCAGATGACCTGGCCTCCACAGTCACCGGACCTGAACCCAATCGAGATGGTTTAGGGTGAGCTGGACCACAGAGTGAAGGCAAAGGGGCCAACAAGTGCTAAACACCTCTGGGAACTCCTTCAAGACTGTTGGAAAACCATTTCAGGTGACTACCTCTTGAAGCTCATGGAGAGAATGCCAAGAGTGTGCAAAGCAGTAATCAGAGCAAAGGGTGGCTATTTTGAAGAAACTAGAATATAAAACATGTTTTCAGTTATTTCACCTTTTTTTGTTAAGTACATAACTCCACATGTGTTCATTCATAGTTTTGATGCCTTCAGTGAGAATCTACAATGTAAATAGTCATGAAAATAAAGAAAACGCATTGAATGAGAAGGTGTGTCCAAACTTTTGGCCTGTACTGTATATATATATACAGGGCATTTATTACAGGATGTTAGTGTATGTAGAAGGCTGCTCCAATGCCACAGAATAAGAATTCAGCAATGTTAGTTCCCTTTGCTTTCCAGTTGATGCACAAAGCCATTTACAATAATACCATATATTGTATATATGCCTGCAATCGAAGCGGTGCTCATATGAATATATGCTTTATCATAAAACGCTACAGAACACAGGATTCACAGCAGTTGCACAGTGTACTGTAAAGTCCTACTCATCACTATCTGCAGGAGAGTGTATGCAAACTAAGGCGAGGAGTCATCAAAACTCATTTGCATCTGAAGAGGATTACAGGAGATTAAAAATAGCAAAGGAGTGAAACTGTTCCAGTTGGATGTTTGAAATAATACAGTGTTTGCTTATTAATATGTGCTGCTTAGTAAAGTTAAGTGTTTATTTGTACAACAAAACTTACAGCGCCCTCTCTAATTCTCATTGTGCTCAGCTCAGCTGTAGCGTCTCATCTGCAGGTGCTGCGGCTACGTTCAGCTTCTGAAGGAACTCTTTAGCAGTGCAGAGCGTAACAAACTGACAGAGGTCGGACAAACAAGATACAGCATATGGGTATTAGACAGGCATAATAAGTGCGTACAGACAGAAAAGATTACAGCAAGAAAAAGCTGATATAGGGATAATCCTTGTAGTACAAACACACACGTTTGTACTTCTGTGCTTGTGAGGACCCTTATCGGCGTAATGCATTCCCTCGCTAACCCGAACCTTAAAGGAATTATTCTGATTACATTTACGTTTGGGTACCAGATATGGGTTAAAGATGTAGCTACAGCCAGCAGTTGGTCATCTTAATCCGTACAGCTGATATGGAGAAATGACAATCAACCTTTCCACAAGGGGTTATGTGCCCCTCTTGTTAGAGGCCAGTTGCTAGGAAACCAGCAGACACTTCAGGAAGTTGCTGCACCTTGACAAGAAGCCAGGCCAGCTGTTTCTCTTTGCCCAAGCTCGTGCTAAGCTAAGCTACCCGGCTGCTGGCTTCGCTTTAATGAGTGTGTTTCCCAAAGTATCAAATTATTGCTTTAACAATCACAACTAAATGCCAAACCCTAACAATTAGCATAAACTTAAAGGGGAACACTAACCAAATTACGACTTCCACTTTAGTCAGTTAGTAAGTTAAAGGGAAACAAAAGGTTTTGAAACTGGTCCAGTATTGAGAGGGCTGCAGCTGGCAGCAGCAAAACAAGATGCCATGTAATCAGTAGGGGCAATTGCGCAACCTCAGTGTATGTCCACTAAAAGTGCTTGTTTTTGGCACTGACAGGCTGAGTGTCTAACAACATTATGGAAATTATCCTTACAGAGATAGACCTTTGTTGTAAAGAGTAGGATTCTTTTTGTTTGACCCAAAACAGCCCCAAAATTGCCATTGCCAAACCCACCAGACTCCATTTAAATATACAGTAATTTTAGTGTGTGTAGACCCAGTATATTTTCACATCTACATGGGTGAATAAAAGGTTTAATGCAACCAAACCAGAGTAGGTGGTTGTTGGAACAGTGGGAGGAAGAGCCAAGATGGCTTTTGTTAGTGTAATTTTGTTTTTGTAGACTCTGAATGAAGTGTGTTTTATGATAATAAAATTCTTGTTTATTTAAATGGAGTCTGGTGGCTTTCGCAATCATGATTTTGAGGCTGTTCCCGGTTAAACACAAAGGACCTCATCCTTTAATAAAAAAGATCCATCTCTGTCATGATTCTTCCATTATATTGTCAGACACTTACAATAACAATGTGAGCCTGTCAGTGGCAGAACAAGTTTAGTGGACATAAAGTGGCGATGCACAATTCCCCCGAGTTTCTCTGCTGTCCATCCGCCTGTACGTCCGTCCCATTATCATGAACACTATATCTCAGGAACACCTTAAGGTAATTTCTTAAAATTTGGCACAAATATCCTCTTGGACTTAATCGTGAACTAATTTGATTTTGGTGGTCATAGGTTGCAGGTCAAGGTCACTGTGACCTCATCTGTCTCATTCTCTTAAACACAATATCTCAAGAACACCTTGAAGGATTTTCTTTCTTTCTTTTTCAGATTCTGGCACAAACATTCATTTTGAATCAAGGATGAGCTCATAAGAATTTAGCTGTCAAAGGACAAGATCACTGTGACCTTGCACCCATCTTGGTCTCTTTAACGTGATATCTCAAGAAGGCTTTAAAGGAATTTACTCAAATTTTGTCAAATGTCCACTTTGACTCAACAATGATCTGATTAGAATTTTGTAGTGTAAGGTCAAATGTAAAGGTCACTGTGATCTCACAAAACATGTTTTTGGCCATAACTCAATAATTCCTACTTAAATTACGACAGAATTGCTCACAAATGTCTAAAAGGATAAAATGATGACATTTTATATCTCAAAGGTCACCTTTGCTGTGACATCATGATAGTTTGCAGTAACACCTTTCGGGCCATTCCTCAACATCATGAATCAGGGATAGAAGGGGAGACATTTGGTCAGATACTGAATCAGTGACATTAATCTTGGGTGTTCACCTTGAAACTGTACTGATTGTAAAGATCTTCCAGGAAGGAAGGTGTGTGAAACATCCATGTTTTCACAGACATGGATGCAAACTGTAACTGCAGCTTGACAGGTTTGCGAAACCGCAAAACGTAAATTTTAGTTTCAATAAATTATGGCTTTTGAACTATACAGCGCTCTGGAGTTAACTGTTATTGGAGATGTTTGGATCAGACCAGTTGTGCCAGTGAGTTGGTATGTCGCCATCTTTGAAATAGCTTAAATGTGGAGTTTTCTGACATAGTGTGCTGTGATAAGGCCCTGGCTGCGTTACTGTTGTGCCAGTAATTATGGTAATGAACACTCTCCTGTGTAGTTTAATTTTAGAGTGTCTCAGACCACAGGGATAACATGTATGAATTTTGAAAAGGGGCCGAACCTATAGGTAACTGTAGCATGAGCCTAAATCCAAGTCTTCATCCTAAAGCAGTCCTTATATAAAAATAAGTTCTCAAACTTAAATTGGTCCTGACAAAGACAGCAGAACACTCACCCAGCCTGCCCACACATACACACAGGTTTAATCCTGAACAAGTGGGAGAAGGTAAACACAAGGATAAAGACACTTACATAAACAATGCATTAGTGAGGCTAATTAAATGACATTTATGATTCAGTCTCCCTAAACTATAAATTAGCAGCTCTGACCTCAGCTCATTCTCTCTCTCCTAATGTTCCCACTAATGCCCCTTGGTACTCGCTTTGTGTTTATTAATGCTCGCATCCAAGGACGCACGCTCCGTTTGACAAACACACAGATGGGCAGCCGCACGGGTTTTAATGTCAGATACAATCCCAACATCAGAAACAGCTTTACACAGGTTTATTCGAGAGGCAAATAAACACACTCAGAATCCACTCGGCTTATTTTGGTGAAAAAAACAAATCTCTCTTTGTCTCTCTGCCTTCACTCTTTCACACCTAACTCTCCCCTTTTCTCCCCTCAGGAAAACATTTCCATCCCAGCATGCAACGCTCTCTGGCTTCGCTGCTGTCTATATCTCCGTAAGCACCTCTGTGTCTCACTTGCCGTCTGTGGTGATGTACATTGAGTATGATGTATTTGCATCATAAACTGTGTGCGAATGTGTGTGGGGTTTTCTGAGTTTGTGTCACATTTTGGTTAAATCCTTGCAGATGCCTTAATATTAATGCACCACATTTTCTTTATCCTTTATCCTTGCATACATTTTTATGAGTTTATGCAACTGACAGTTTATCTGCTCAACTATCTGTGTTCATGATAAGTATCCAGATGTTCCTCTACTTACTCTTAACGAACGTGGCTGCTGGCAGCACAAGATTAGCTCCTCCATATCAGAGGATTTTTTAGCTGGAATGAAATCACTGTCACTTCATACATAACTTGCAATTGCATTATGGTGTTTACTCGCTCAGAGATTTCCAAATTCGACACAACAGTATCCCCAGGCCAAAGAGCTGTCCAAATCTTACATTAAAACCTAACAGGACTTTTAAGGTCAGATTTCCGTTTGCTGTTACTTCCTGGTGCATATGTGCAGCAGCTTTCTGCCATTCTGTGGTCCGGTGCTGACAGCAGCAGTATGTCAACTGTACAGCAAAGTAGCAATGTCATTTTTCCATGAGGTAACACCCTCCTACACACAAATACACTCTCCTCCACCAATGGCTACTCAAGCTACTGGCCATATCACTGCTGCCTCGCTGGGCTCAGAGTGTGCTCATTAAAGCTCACCAGACCGATTTCTGATGAGAGAGAGAAAAGGCAGGAGGAGGAGGAGGAGGAGGAGGAAGAGGAAGAAAGCGGCTGTTGTGGTTGCTAGAGTTACAACGTGTTGTCTCTGCAAAGTTGAGATGCAGCCCATTAATTCTGTTGTCAGATTCCTCTACACTGATCGCCACATTAAAACACATGTCTTATAGTCAGTCTCAGAAAACCTTCACAGCAAAGTAAAGACTCCCACTTGTTTCCATACCTTCCCTTCACACCTTTTTTTTTTTTAGAAATATGCAAAAGCTCGACAGAAAGAGACTGAAATTTGAATTGCATTGGGAACAACTGAATGTCAGCCTTCTGTCAGAGTCTTGCTTCACGAAAAGTTGGGTTCTTATGCTCGCGACAAGATGGACAAGCTTGTTAAAATGGATATTTTTGCAAAGCCTGCTCCTCTGTCACTCAGCTGTCCTCCACTTTATGTAACCCAAATATAGAGTGCATGCACAGAATCTCAATGTAAATATATAAATATATTCTCTCTCCCCTCCTGTGGCCCTTCTGCTTACATCCCTGTTCTGTTTTACTGTCAGAAAAATAGGCCTGTTCATCTTAATGACCCAGTTACCTCATATGCAGCAGACTTTACTCTTAAAACACCTCTAACAACAGCTGAGGTAGTGTCATTTACTTAACTTTCATGGAACATAAAACAATATAGTTGCATTGGAAACAAGTGAAATTATGTCACCCAGTTGGATAAACGTTTTTGTGTCTACAGGAATAATAAGACATTTTGGCAAATACAATTATTTGCACTTTTGCTAGGACAGCAAGGACACAGTTAGCTTAGCTTAGCAAGAAGAATGGAAGCACAGGAAATAGGCTGATAGTTCAGTCAAATATTAAAAAAAAAAAAACCTGACACTTTGAACCTCAAAAACTCTTTTTTTTAATCTGCACAAAAGCTGAAGCGTAAAAATGACAAATGGTGGTTTAACAGGAAGTCACTGCTCCTGGCCAAAAAGTAATCTGGGACGGGCAACTGTGTACCATAACAATTTGTCATTTTTGTGCTGTTTTAACTGATTAAATATTGAGATGTAATGTAATAATTAGTGAGCTTTACAGACGCTAGTAGGTGGATTTATCCTTTGAACGGAGCCAAGCTAGCTGTTTCCCCCTGCTTCTACTCCTTATACTAAGCTAAGCTAACTGGGTGCTCGCTGTAGCTTCATGTTTAAAGGGACAGTTCACCTCCAAATCAAAAATATGTATTTTTCCTCTTATCTGTAGTGCTCTTTATGAATCTAGATTGTTTTGGTGTGAGTCGCTGAGTGTTGGAGATATTGGCCATAGAGATGTCTGCCTTCTTTTAAAGATACTGAAACTAGATGGCACTCAGCTTGTGGTGCCCAAAACACCGAAAGAAACCATTAAAAAAAACTCAACAGCAATGTCTCTTTCCAGAAATCATGACCCAGTTACTCAAGATAATCCACAGACCTTGTTGTGAGCAGTTTCGTGCAAGAACTGTTTTCTTTCTACCGAACTACACTTGTGAATCCTGCAGAAGGAAGTGTGTATCTACTGCTAGCTCCTTTAGCACCACTGAGCTAGCTAACGTTACAGCTCAGCTAATGTTTACATCTTGCACTGTCACAAGCACAAACCTCTCCACCATGAGCAGATGCATGCTTGCTTCTGTGCAGCTGTAGTTTGGTAGAAAGAAAGTAATTCCTGCAGAAAGAAGTGTGCATCTACTCATGGAAAATAGGCTTGTGCTTGTGCGAGATGTAAACATTAACGCCATCCTCCTCGACTGAGCTGTAACTTTAGCTAGCTCAGTGGTGCTAGGTGAGCTAGCAGTAGATGCACACTTTCTTCTGTGTGGTGATAGGATTGGCGGCTGTAATTGGGTAGAAAAAAATAGTTCCTGCAGAAGGACATGTGCACCTACTCATGGAAGACAGGCTTGTGACAGTGCGGGATGTTCGCATTAATGGTGTCCTTCTCAGTTGCGGTTGCAACATTATCTAGTTCACTGGTGCTGAGGTGAGTTAGTAGTAGATGCACGCTTCCTTCTGCGCAGTGATATGATTGGCGGGTGTAGTTTGGTAGAAAGAGAATAGTTCCTACATGAAACTGCTCACAACAAGGTCTGTGGATTGTCTTGAGTAACCGGGTCATGATTTCTGGAAAGAGACATTGCCGTTGAGTTTTTCAAATGTATTTTTGAGGCACTTTGAGCACCACAAGCCGAGGCCATCTAGTTCCATTATATTCGTCTCCAGCATCTCCAGCAGTCAGCAACTTGCATCAAAATAATATAGACTGATAAATACGACAGGTAAGAGGGAAAATATGTATTTTTATTAAGGGGTAAACTGTTCGTTTAACAGACAGATATGAGAGTGGTATCAATCCTTCCATTTTACTCTCAGCAATTTCCCAAAATGTGAGATTATTTCTTCCTAAAGTTTAAGATATACAAGATGAGGCCTGCAATATTTTTCCGTCACAAAGTAAAACTGTGAATTTTCTCACTTCTCAGGTAAAACCTTTTCTCCAGTGTGTTGTCGTGCTTTTTATTGACACCTGCACCTCATTCTCCATATGCCACACTGATGCGTGTCTCTCTGTCCACAGATGTACTTTAACGCCAGCATCAGCAGCACGACCAAGCTGCTGAAGCCGCTGCTGGTGTTTGCTTTCTGCATGGCGGCGGGCCTCGCCGGGCTGACACAGATAACTCAGCACCGCAGTCACCCAATAGACGTCTACGTGGGATACCTCATAGGAGCCGGCATCGGAGTCTACCTGGTTAGTCACGCAAAAAAAAGCAAAAAAAAACCCACCAGACTGAAATCTGTGGGCAAAATGTATTAAAGGTCCTAATTTATTTGGCTGGTTTGAAGATAATTGCACCTTTTCTACTAATGTGACTCGCTGAAAGACATTTAAACAAGTGGAATAGTCTTAAAATGGATTTCCTATTTCAGGATTTAGTTTGTGAAATGAGTGCCAGCATATGTTTGTAGGCATTTAGGGATTTGTTTTGTCCCCAGGGAGTAGTTAACAGTCAGCATGCAGCATGGTGGGAATGACCGAATACACATAAATAGATTTCGTTTTTTTTAATTAAGTGGCTTAGTTGTTTTGCCGTGACTGAATCGTCCCGTTGTATTATTCTAACGCTATCGCAGCATGTGCTAACAAATGCCTCTTTTTTTAATCACCTCTCCTCTCCGTGCGGCTTCCATACTTCTCGCTCCTCGCAGTTTTTTTGGCAGGCTCTATATATAGCCTTTTCTATTAAGGAGGGGAAGAGAGAGAGAATGAATAATCGGATAAGAATTCTCTGGAACAATTTCACACTTCATTTTAAGAAAACTTGTCGTTGCCATTCTCCACGCTTCCCTCCTCCTCTAGCTGTCTTTCTCTATCGTCTTTCACATTTTAAGAGGGGGTGAGCGCTTGCTTCTGTCATTAAAGGATGAATCCTGAAAGAGGGGGAAGAGAGTGATTCATGCTGACCTCACTAAACAGGAGGAAGAGGGAGAAATGCCTATTCATGCACTTGCTCCCCACTAACATGAATATCAATTTTTTTCCCTCCCAAAGATTAAAGAAAATACGTTTTCACGCTTCAGCCTTTATTTAACATGCTGGGTGCTTCAATCTCCTCATTTGTTTCTCCTCCCCACCTCCTTGTATCCCTGTGTCAGGCTGTGTATGCAGTGGGAAACTTCAAAGCATCAGACGAAGATGCTCCCTCTTTGCAGAGGCTGGCCCCGGCTCAGCAGAAGGACAGCCTGAGGGTGCTGAGCCAGCGGGGTCATGACTCCCTGTACAGGAAGACTCCCAGGGTGTCTGAGAGCAGAGAGGAGCTGGGGGCTGGGCTGGGGTCTGGGGCTCGCAGTAAGGTGAGGAGGGAGAAGGCATCCTTGGCTTCCCTTAAACGAGCGAGCGCCGATGTGGAGCTCCTTGCGACCCGAGGTCCCATGGGCAAGGAAACTATGGTAACCTTCAGCAACACCTTACCCCGAGTCGCAAACGGGAACAGCCCCATCTCCCCCTCGGATGAGCTCCCCACCACGCAGCGTCACATGACCTTCCACGTGCCCTTTGACCCCCAGAGGTCTCGGCAGCTGGTGTCAGAGTGGAGGCAGCGCTCGCTGGAGCTGCGCAGCCAGAGCTCACGAGACGAGGAGGAGGGGATGGACGGGAGGGATGGAGGAGATGAAGGAGGAGCAGCGGCGGGAGAAGGAGATCAGGAGATGCCTTCGTCTCTTTATCCCACAGTACAAGCCAACAAGGGCACCGCCACGCCAACCGGAGCCAGGATGGTGGTGGCGCCCCCGCTCGTTCACATCCCAGAGGAGGCCACTCGGCCGCCTCCTGTTTCACCGAAGAGTGCCAAGACGCGCGCCAAGTGGCTGTCGCTCACCGAGGGAGGAGGGGTGAAGGAGCCGGGGACGGGGCCCATCGCAGTGTCGACTCCTCGTGTCCCCAACACGCAGCCCAACCAGCCGCCCAGCCAGCAGAGAGTCACTCAGGTGAGGGAGAAATTACAAACTGAACGCCTGCAAATCAAAATAATTACATTGTTTTGAGCTGTAATTTTTCATTCTTTGATTTCCAGTGGCACGCAGCCAGTCCTGATAAATATAGTTTAGTCTGGAGATTTAATAGCTGCCAAACGCTGTGTGTGTGCGCGACACACCTGATGATTTATTTTGGTGGTAAAATCATAACAGAACAACACGGTCAGAGGCAATTTCACTGATTACTTTCCAATATGAAATACTCTCCCAAGGGTTCAAACACTTATTATAGGTGGAGTTAAAGCTTAATAAAATGTCTGTGAGGGATATTGAATTTGTTGCTGTTACCCTCTACAGTATTTACTGTAATAAAACTGAACTTTATCGTGGTGCAGACCTGTTTCCTAAATACAAATAGCTCCTTTCTGCAGTGGCTGCTTTCATTCATATTGAAAGTTCACTTTGGAAACAGCAGGTGATAAATCAGAAACAGGTCCACGTGCTCGCTGATCTGGAGCAGCTGCTTGATCGTTCCTGTCTGAGCATCTTTCCTTCTGTCCTCCAGGTGATAGCCATGTCCAAGCAGCAGGGTCATGGAGTCACTTCCTCCACTAAGACATCAGAAGGTGGCTCCTCTTCAGGCGGAGGGTCCAACTGCTCCGAGTCGCCCTACTACCGGATCCCATCTGATCGAGACAGCTGCACCGGGAGCAACCCAGGGAGCATTGCCGGGAGCGGAAGCATCGTTACAATCGACGCTCACGCCCCTCACCACCCGGTGGTGCGTGTGTCGGCCAGTAACGGCAAGCCGTGGGAGTGGAGGAACACCATCAGCGGTAACATGATGGCCACCGACAAGGCAGGGGACAAACACCGTGTGGCCCTGCAGCGACAGGACAATGTCAGTCACTACCGGGATTACCGGACACTCCCCGTGAAAACGGACTCGCTCTGCTCCTCCTCAGCCAGCGGCAGTGCCGAAGGAGGACAGGAGCTGCCTCCCCCGCCTCTCCCCACCTCCTCCTCCCCCCTGCCTCCACCTCCCCAGCTGTTGTCATCCCCTCTACCCCCACCGCCTCCTCACTCTTCTTCCTCTCCCTTGCCTCCCCCTCCACACCCAAGCACCTCTCCATTGCCTCCAAACCTCCCTCACCCTGCCTCCTCCCACATGCCTCCGCCTCCTCACCTGTCCTCTCAGATGTCCCCACCACCCCTCCCAGTGTCCTCACACATGCCCCCACCTCCTCACCCATCTTCCTCTCAAATGCCCCCACCTCCTCACCCGTCCCACTCCCACATGCCCCCGCCTCCTCACCCATCCTCCTGTCAAATGCCCCCACCTCCACATTCCTCCTCTTCCCCTATGCCACCTCCACCTCACCCCTCATCCTCCATGCCTCCACCTCCTCACCCGTCCTGCTCCAGCATGCTCCCCCCTCCTCCCCATCCCGACTTGCTGATGGACAGCCACAGCCAGGCGCTGTCCCGCTCCTCCACCCTGCCTCGTCGGCCCTCTGTCTCTGCCCGCAGCCACGCCGAGCAGGAGCACTACTACAAGGCCATGCAGAACGAGAGGATGTTATAGTAAAGACATGATTGTCATGTCAATGATTGTGCTTCAGAGGACTCAGTTGAAAGAGACAGTGAAACAAAATAGATTGTGGCAGGTGAATAGAGATTTATGACTTTAGAAAAATGACAAAAAGGTTTCGAGACTCTGATACCAGAGCAGACGCTTCGGTCAGAATGCTGCAAAGGAAGAGGCAACAGCAGGGGTGGAGGAGCACGGGGAGGTCTGGCAGCTCACACGCACTCAGCGGGGAATCTTGTTTTCTCCTGCTCACACGTACTGCCCACAGCGCCGGCTCAGCGACACTGACTGGGAAAAGAACAGACAAGAGAAGAAAGGGGAGTCAAAGAGAGAGCAGGGTGCAGAATTAAAAAACCCAAGATTCAGCACGCACATCCTCTGTGTTCCTTTAAAGCACATTCAGCGAAGGAGTGGGAGAGGCTGCAGCTGAAAGAGAGATATCACAATGAACGGTCTGGGATTTGCTAAATCAAGTTTCCCTTGAGAGGAGGGATAAGACTGAGAAAACAAAACAACTACAGGCAATACTTGCTCTCCTTAAACCAGCGCAGCTGTTTGAGGTTGCCAGCTATTACACACAGAGAATTTGCCGTCGTAACCAGCTGAAAAACTTGTGCTTTAAAGCACCCAGAAGCTCTGAGCAAAGAAAAGAATGCAGTAATGTTAAGTTCAACCACAGGTTCAAGAGTATTAGCCACAACTCACAAAAGCATGAGAGTCTTTTTGCCCCTCTGAATACACAAACCAAAATGGGGAATTTTATGTTTGACGCCAAGCAAATCTGTCAGTATCCACCAGAGAGAGCCGGCTTAGGAAGCGCTGCCTCTGGTTGGGGTGTGAGAAGAAGGAGGAGGAGGAGGGCTGGGCATAAGGAGGATCACGCACAGTTGGGCACCCCAATACAGACGTCACCAAATGGATTACTGCTGTAAACATGAGAGGCGGTGGAATGGAAAGAGAATTGTTCCTTAAGTGAAGAGGGTGGTTGGGCCGCGCGGCACAGCGAGCTCGGCAGCCAGTCTGTCTTTGCTGTGTGCAAAACCTGCCACAGTGCCTGAAGCAGCACTAAGGAGATTAACGTTTGTTTATCAAACCATGCTAGCGCACTCTTCCCTCCGCAGCCCTTTGCATTTGGCCCTCTGGCAAATCACAATGGTGACGGCACTGTTAATGGAAAGCTGCCCAGCCAGGAGTGCAGCATCACCACCAACATGCACACTGGCTCAAACAGGTGCTGGTGGGATGCAGATTACGGGCTTGTGTTGCTAGCAGTGTCTGTACCTGTTAGCATTTCAGAGGTTTTGGTATCACTTTCTAACTGTGCAATACTTTATCAATGATCATTTATCGATTTTTCTTTATAGATCAGTATTAAGACATTCTTAAGAGCAACTTTTGGGTTGTCAGGATGTAAATCTTGGAACCTTTCGGCTATCGGCCTGATGACAATTTAGCCTCTGGGGACAATGGCCAATATTTAAGGGGTTGTGGCGTAGCTAGCGTGTATCCAGACCAAGACTTTACTCTTCCATACATCGGTCATTGTTAACAGTCCGATTAGCTACTTGAGATGTTACAGCTAATCTTTATAAACAGATATCTACACATTAATGCAGATAAATTAAAACAATAAAAGCTAATAAAAAAAGCCAGACAATAGCCACTGGGTTCCAAATGTTAATGTCATGAAATGTAAATGGTTAACCACTAACCAAATATTTTAAGGTTACGGATGCCAGTTCATTTTACTGCCCTTCAGTTTACTGCAATGTGCATCACCCAGCTCCGGTGGGAACTAGCTAGCAACAGTAATTCAGAGTTTTCCGCCAGTCCTGACCCAACAGCGTTGCAGTAAAAATGTGCCTACCCCTTGGTCTCCTCTCAGGTCACACCGGTGAGTAAGTGGCTAAATTTTTTGCTGTAAAACCCCTTTCTATGCAATCCCTGTTAGCACTGTTAGCAGTATCAGCAAGGCTAGTAGTGCTAACAATGCTAAAGGGCAGTGTGGCTCAAAACAAAGCACGCACATGGGCGGGAAACCAGAGGATGGCCACCATGTTGTTTCCATCAGCCTATTTAGATGCGCATCTAGAAGTATCGCATTGGAAAATCATGATGAAATGCCAAAATTCGAATTAAAATCCCCTGATTCACACAAACTAAAATACACTCGCTTTAGCCGGGTTTTGGTTGATTCAAAAAAATGTTGATTTGCAAAACGGGGGATGGAAACAGTTATGTTCGAATTAAGTCTGACGTAGCGCACCTCTCTCCATGGTGATATCCACACTGCGGGTCGGGAAGGCGGTAATGCATTTACAAGCTGGTTGCCAACCGCCAGAAAACATAGAAGAAGAAGAATGCGAGACTTGTTTTGTTTCCAGTTCTGCGGAAAACTCGCGAGTTCATAGTTTTCACCAAAGTCCGTACATTTAATGGAAACACACAGGATTCGTATTTCTTTTAATGCGCATTTCCCAATGATTCGAATCACTTGTGGATGGAAACATAGCTAGTAACCGCGAAATGAGCGGCGCAGCTAGCAAGCTTCCAATGGACTCGGGTGGTGCTCAGTGCAGAGCAGCCAAGGCTAACACTGTGTTTCCGCATGTTAGCCCCAAGACATTTACATCACAAAATATTAAAATTTCACCAACTCTAAATGGATAACAGTTGGTGCTTTGAAATGAGAAGCTAAAGCTCACTGAGTCAGTGAAGCACCATGCGTTTTTCTTAAAAATTAACCAGTTAGTATTAAAAATATTAAGATATACAATTTACAACAACAACAACAAATTACAAATGAATACATGAAGCCTTAAGAGTCTTTGCAAATTAGAGTCCTTTTCAGATGTTTTTGAATAACGATGATGTTGATGATTGTAGAGATGGAGGAAGGTTGTTCCAAAGAGATGGTCCTCTGTATTTCAATGAGTATTGATTAAGAAAAGTCCGACAATATGAAAGATAAAGGTCCTTAGAGTGACTTGTGGGATACACATACAGTACAGGCCAAAAGTTTGGACACACCTTCTCATTCAATGCGTTTTCTTTATTTTCATGACTATTTACATTGTAGATTCTCACTGAAGGCATCAAAACTATGAATGAACACATGTGGAGTTATGTACTTAACAAAAAAAGGTGAAATAACTGAAAACATGTTTTATATTCTAGTTTCTTCAAAATAGCCACCCTTTGCTCTGATTACTGCTTTGCACACTCTTGGCATTCTCTCAATGAGCTTCAAGAGGTAGTCACCTGAAATGGTTTTCCAACAGTCTTGAAGGAGTTCCCAGAGGTGTTTAGCACTTGTTGGCCCCTTTGCCTTCACTCTGCGGTCCAGCTCACCCCAAACCATCTAGATTGGGTTCAGGTCCGGTGACTGTGGAGGCCAGGTCATCTGCCGCAGCACTCCATCACTCTCCTTCTTGGTCAAATAGCCCTTACACAGCCTGGAGGTGTGTTTGGGGTCATTGTCCTGTTGAAAAATAAATGATCGTCCAACTAAACGCAAACCGGATGGGATGGCATGTCGCTGCAGGATGCTGTGGTAGCCATGCTGGTTCAGTGTGCCTTCAATTTTGAATAAATCCCCAACAGTGTCACCAGCAAAACACCCCCACACCATCACACCTCCTCCTCCATGCTTCACAGTGGGAACCAGGCATGTGGAATCCATCCGTTCACCTTTTCTGCGTCTCACAAAGACACGGCAGTTGGAACCAAAGATCTCAAATTTGGACTCATCAGACCAAAGCACAGATTTCCACTGGTCTAATGTCCATTCCTTGTGTTTCTTGGCCCAAACAAATCTCTTCTGCTTGTTGCCTCTCCTTAGCAGTGGTTTCCTAGCAGCTATTTGACCATGAAGGCCTGATTGGCGCAGTCTCCTCTTAACAGTTGTTCTAGAGATGGGTCTGCTGCTAGAACTCTGTGTGGCATTCATCTGGTCTCTGATCTGAGCTGCTGTTAACTTGCGATTTCTGAGGCTGGTGACTCAGATGAACTTATCCTCAGAAGCAGAGGTGACTCTTGGTCTTCCTTTCCTGGGTCGGTCCTCATGTGTGCCAGTTTCGTTGTAGCGCTTGATGGTTTTTGCGACTCCACTTGGGGACACATTTAAAGTTTTTGCAATTTTCCGGACTGACTGACCTTCATTTCTTAAAGTAATGATGGCCACTCGTTTTTCTTTAGTTAGCTGATTGGTTCTTGCCATAATATGAATTTTAACAGTTGTCCAATAGGGCTGTCGGCTGTGTATTAACCTGACTTCTGCACAACACAACTGATGGTCCCAACCCCATTGATAAAGCAAGAAATTCCACTAATTAACCCTGATAAGGCACACCTGTGAAGTGGAAACCATTTCAGGTGACTACCTCTTGAAGCTCATGGAGAGAATGCCAAGAGTGTGCAAAGCAGTAATCAGAGCAAAGGGTGGCTATTTTGAAGAAACTAGAATATAAAACATGTTTTCAGTTATTTCACCTTTTTTTGTTAAGTACATAACTCCACATGTGTTCATTCGTAGTTTTGATGCCTTCAGTGAGAATCTACAATGTAAATAGTCATGAAAATAAAGAAAATGCATTGAATGAGAAGGTGTGTCCAAACTTTTGGCCTGTACTGTATACATAGACTGTTAGCTACATGACATCAAAGCCTGCTAAAACATGTTTGGTCAGTTCTACTCGGACTACAAACTGAAACCAGAACACCTCCAATACCGAAATAAATTGTGCCCTGTTGCATACAGATTCTGCATACATATGCAGATATCTGTTTATAGAGATTGTAAATATTTTTCATCAGTGTGCATCTTTTTATATAGCTGTTTAATTTTTCAGGAAGAGCTCTGCAGGAAACCCAAGTAATGTTTACAATGTTTACAGCTCCAGACTTTACTCCTCTATCCAGCCACCCATTATCTACACCCGTTTATCCAGGGTTATGAGACATCTATCTACCACAGGGCTTCCCTTATTTAAGTACGCCTTATTAGAAAGTGATACCAAGATTTTTTTTGTTCCTCTGTTTACATGAAATAAATTAGATGACCATGTGAACAGCCAGCCAACACAAAAACAGGCCAGCACAAGCTTAAAAAGATGTTGGCAAAACAGTCTCAGCTAAAGGTCAACTTGCTTGTTTGCTGACCGGCAGCATAGAGTCTTCATCAGCAGATGTTGTTTCCACAGTTGTCATGGGAATATGGGCAAAATACATTGGCTGATGAGGACCGTGAAAAGCGGTCAAAAGGTCCAGAACAAGTGAATAAGCACACCTTTAGTTGAGATTGTTTTGTCAACTGCTGATTCATACAGTAGGTCAAGAAAGAGTCGTCCACTTAAAGGTTAGTTCTTGACTTAATAGGTGAAACAATTAACCGTAGAATTAATCCAATTATTATCTGCTAATAATAGTAACAGTGGTTGCAGGCTTCAGAGCAACATCAAGTTGAGAGGAAGTGCGTGTTCTTCCTGCTCTCCCCTGCCTCTTGTGTGTATTTATACCATGTTGTATAAAGTCGTTATCTGGTACCTATCATTTCATACAAGTCTTTTTCTAACTATCAGAAGATATTCCGTCCAATGACAAGTGCTTTATTTTAGGTCGTACTTTGATCATATTTTAACGAGAGATCCAGACTCACAAACACACAGATGAAAGAGCTGGTTTTCACCCACGCGCCACAAGCATCTGAAGGCTACATGAACTGATTTTCGTAACGTTGTGCCAGGAAGGGGCGAGTTTAAATGGAACAAGTTGTATTTTGTAGTGGAGCTCCCTCTGATGAGGAGCTGGTAGAATAATGTTGCTCGTCGGTTTGTGCTGCATGTGTGTGTGTACGAGCGTGTTGTTTTTGTTTGTTTTTTTTTCTTAAAGACTTCTGTGCTTCAGGTCTGCGCCGTCGCATTTGACGGACAGACGTGCTGCATTTTTCAGTGCTGGTGATTATCGTACTACTTTCCCCCCCATTTTGACTGTAAAAAATACTTGATATTACCTAATATTATTAATACTATTATTATTTCAGTCCTCTTTTATGGGCTGATGTTTTCTATCTGTGGTGATGTGTAACATTAATAACCTGATTGAATAAAAAAGCCAAGACTTCTTAACTGAGGTTTCGTCTTGTGTTACTTTAGTGCCTCAAAATAGACAGAGGGTCATTGCCGGAGCGGCTTTTACCGCAACTCTAATGAAAAGGATCTTCTCCATTGATTCTTGGGTTATGAGTACTTTCATGCTCATTCATACTGTACACTCACACATGCACACACACACACTCGCATGGATACACACAGCCAGACGGATCCGGCACAGTTGCAACATTTGCTCCTTTCCTGTGGGCTAGTGTCAGGTTTCTGTAATGAATTCTGCGAGAATGTTGGTCAGTCCCAGATGACCTGCAGGGATGCAGCAAGCATTGGCTGAGGCCTCTGTCTGTGTGTGTGTAAAAAACTGTGAAAAAATGTATACTTACATTGGATTTTGTGTGTTAACGTGCATGCAAAGGCTGTTTATTTTGGTAAATGTGCCCCTTGGTTTATTCTGACACAGCATGATTAACGTGGATGATTATGCAGAGATGAGTTGGGCTGTGTGTGTGTGTGTGTGTGTGTGTGTGTGTGTGTGTGTGTGTGTGTGTGTATGTGTGTGTGTGTGTGTGTGTGCACGTGGTCCAGATGTTGTGAGGTTATGTGTCCATTCAGATATTTGTCAGTTTTGGGCATTTTTCTATCTGCATGCATGTTTGAGTGTTTGTTTGGCCGTGTATGCATATGTGTGTGTGTGTGTGTGTGTGTGTCCGGTGCTTCGGAGCATTGAGCTGTGTGATGAGGCCGTACAGGCAGCGGGGTGCAGATGGTGTACTGAGGCCTGAGGACAGTCAGCCTGTCCATGACTCACACTCAGCAAGCCAGTAGCTCTCCCTCTCTTACTCCCTTTCTCTCTCCCCTTGGTGGCCCAGAAAGCACAACACAACAAGTGTGTATTTGTGTGCAACTGCAGGAGGCCACAGAAAATGCGGCCTGAGCTGTCTTTGCGCATGTGTCTATTTTTGCCACTGTGTGTATATGCTTACATCTTTGTCTGTGTGTGTGTGACAGTGAGA